ATTTCTGACAAAGTTGCCACTGGCATTGAGTTTTGGAAGAATGGCACCAAATATAGCGCGACCGCTCGAAAGGAAGTGATTCTATCTGCTGGAGTATTCAATTCTCCTCAATTACTGATGCTTTCGGGCATTGGACCAAAGGAGGAACTTGATAAATATAATATCGATACCATAGTTGACTTACCAGTGGGCAAAAATTTAATGGATCATGTATATTATGAAGGATTATTTTACAGGTAAGTTACACAACAATAATATACGTAAGATGTTGGGAAATAGGTATTGTCTACTATGTTAGAGATTCTTGCAGTTTCTAAATAAACGTCCGAAAACAGATATCATTTAAGCGGTTTTTTACCTGTATGTGGGTATGCATTGAGGAAGAAAACCCGATGGCTCAAAATTATAGAAATGTACAATTTTCAGCACAAGAGAAGACATTGTGATGAGCTCATCCAACAGCACGTTAGATGTTCAGGCCTATAAAAATTGGTTTAGTTTTCACAGTTTTTGCCCCGCGGCGATTTTTATTCATGATATCGACTTTTCAAAAATTAATTTTAAGAACCGTTTCTTGTCACAATTGATTGATTTGGATATTGCTTTTGTAAAGCCTGGAGTTTTTTTCGAGGGAAAATTCGAACGATCAGCTTGCGTTTCTCACAGTTGAAAACTAGCATTTTTCGCTTTAGTTTTCTGAGCTGTTCGGACGGCTGATAAAATATCGCCATTTGTATTGCATTGTATTTCAGTGTATAATTTACAAATTTAATTAAAACTACCCAGTTTTTCAGGTTTAACTGGCTATTTTAACTAGCTGGTGGCAGGTTTAACCAGTTTAACTGACTATAAAATGTTCTTTTATTTTTCGTTCCACTTTAAATATGCCATATACTTTTTAAGCTTTTCTTCTTTACTGCTTAACATAAAATTGAGAACCTTAAAAAGCCGAAACTTGACTGGTCTATAAAAATAATACAGTGAGAGTTGAAATCTTAATTATGAATGATTCCAGGTCCAACTATACGTTTTATAACAATACCATGTTAGAAAATTTGGTATTATGGGATAACAAAAAACGGCCACTTACGATTGCTGCATCATTTCAAGCAATAACATTCTACAATGTTAACGGAAACACAAGTGAGGCGGCGGATATCGAAGTATTGCTTTCGGGGCCTCCAAGTAATGGCCCCACCCACGGAGAAATGTAAGTTTTTATGGAAATAGAAAAAGCATGTTAAATATCAAACATCACAACGTTTAAGGTACACAAATGCATCATATACGGCTGTATTCGACGTTTTGAACACATATACGGACATTGGTCTGTCTTTAGGATTAATGCAACCGAAATCTGTTGGAGAAATTACTTTAGCATCAGCAGATCCCCGAGATTT